CGGGCCCGGCCCGGCCTCAGGCCTCGGCGCGTTGCCGCGGCAACCGGGACGCTTCCGGCCGCGGGGGCGGGCCTAACGGGACGTTGCGCATGCGCAGTGCCCAGCCCCCACGCTGGAGACCGTAGGGGCGCATGCGCAGTGCCCAGCCACACCCTGGAGACTGTGGGCCGCATGCGCAGTGCCCAGCCCCACCTGCAGATCGTGGGGGCGCATGCGCAGTGCTCAACCCTCGCCTACCCTGGAGGGTGTGGGGCGCATGCGCAGTAGGGGATTGTGGAGTTGCCGCACTCCAAGCCCAGTGGGGCAGTGGGTTGTGTCCCCAGTGCCATGCTGAGCTGAGCTGAGCCGAGCCATGCTAGGCCGGGGATGCTCCTGGGCTAAATCCAGTCCCCCCGCCCTACGGATCAGGATCAGGATCAGGACATGTGGCAACCGGCGGTTCATAAAGACACCTCCGCCCCATCGCTAACTTACCACGCCCCACGTGACTAAATCGGGCTGCAGAGCATACTCGTCGGGTCGCAGGGCCTTCGACGTCTTCACAACCGCGACCCCGTCTGCCTCCCACCGGCGATCGCAGCCGTCCCTCGCTCGCGTTCCTGCCCGTCTCGTCCACCGATGGCCGTCACCCGCGTTGACTTCCGCGGGCGTTTTGTTCGACGAATTCCTCGGGAAGGGTTGAGGCGATATCATCTCCCCGCATACTAGCGTCAGGGTGCGGCCTCGTCACGTTTTGGCAATTGTTTCAGGCCGACGAGGCCCTTTGGGTCAATCCGATATCTTTTATTAGCCTATATCCTTCGACCAACACGGCTACAAACGAGACCCTTTGTCACGTTGCAGCAATTAAGGCCGACGAGGTTCTTCAGGTCAATATATTCTATTAGCCTATATACTTGGACCAACACGGCTACAGACCATACCCTTAGTCACGTTGCAGCAATTAACGTTGACGAGGTTCTTTGGGTCTATATGATATATTTTATTAGCTTATATCCTTGGACCAACACGGCTATAAACTATACCCTTAGTCACGTTACAGCAATTAAGACCAATAGGTTCTTTGGGTCAATATGATATATATTATTAGCCTATATCCTTAGACCAGCATGGCTACAAACGATACCCTTTGTCACGTTGCAGCAATTAAGGTCGACGAGGTTCTTCGGGTCAACGTGATATATTTTATTAGCCTATATCCTTAGACCAGCACGGCTACAAACTGTACCCCTAGTCACATTGCAGCAATTATTTAAGGCAGACGAGGTTCTTTGGGTCAGTCTGGTATCTTTTATTAGCCTATATCCTTCGACCAACACAGCTACAAGCTCAACCCCTGGAGCAGTTGTTTAAAGCATTTCTTTTTTTTTTTTACTTTCTGCTGAAGCAACCAGGGATTTTCCCTGTTGTCATCAACTTGCTACAGCACATGGTAACTTCCAAGCATCAGACAGTGGCGTCCATCTCCAAACTCACTCGCTATGAATCTATTAATTCCATATTCATGGGCGACTGGTGCCTCACGAGTCTGGAAGCACACCAGATCACTGATGGGGGGGGTCCCTTAACTGCTAATTGCCAACCAGGGGGTCCCCCCCATGGCCAATCACTGACCGGGGGGGGCAGGGGGAGTCCCCCAGTGGTGAAAGCGGAAGTGCACTTCCACCAGCACTTCCAATTTCTGGTGCTTCCATGGGGTGCACGGCTGATCTCAGGGAGTGCATGTGCACCCTCTATGCATCACCAATGTCCACATTACTAGAGCAAAATAGGGATCTCAGTTAAATTTCAGGTGGATAGCATCTAGGGTGGCCATCACAGAAGACATTCCGGTTTTCTGCTACTCTGTCCTCTATTGAGAAACCCGATGCTTTTATGTTCTCTGTTTTTCTCTTCAAGAGGGAGAGGAGCCCCTTCAAGAAGGAGAGAGGCCGCTTGAACAGAAAAATAGAGGACATAAAGGCATCAGGTTTCATATGAATAGAGGATGGAGGACAACCGGACTGTCTTGTATGATGGCCACCCTAATAGCACCTAAGGCACACAGCTGAGCAGTTTTGACTTAATCCAACAGAGTGCATTGGGTGCCCAAACAAACCACTTAGTTATTTAACTTAACAGTTCTGAACACTGAATGTATCTATTATTTTTTAAGTCTGGCAAGTAGCAAGTGGGTGCAATGGATCAGTGATTCTCAAGCATTGTGGGTCTGCAATCCAAAATTAATGTAATCATTTTTTAAGGAACCAGAATGTTGAACATTACTTACCAATATATTTAAAAAAAAACATAAAGATATTCAGCCAGTTCTTGCTATTCTTTCATGCTTTATGATTAAGAAATTACTGAAAATATAATAAAATGGTCAGTATCATTTTTAGTAAAGTGACATAAATGCTGCCTTCACTGGTTTTCTTCACTACAGACCCTGTATTATTGTGCCTAGGTATAGACAGACAAGACAGGGGGTTTTTTCAGTTGGTATAATTGCATCATCTTCCTGAACAATAGAAGCTAAGTTAGCAGAATACTTATTTCATCCTTATTTCACACCAGGGTTTTTTTTTTCCAGTATAGCTACATTGCCTATGGAGTATAACGTTTGCACCACTGGATGATATACCTATCCTGGCAAAACTTTATAGGGTAGTTCTGGCCTTAGCTAACAAACCAGGGAATGAATGAGGCACCTGCATCCCTGGAAAGCAAAATTCCTAATATCTGAGCTGAAGAGCTATGTGCTGTAACATATGTTAATCCCCTAAATCATAGACAGACCAAGTGCTTACATTTAGATAACCATACGCTAGTATGGTTGCTCATATGCTTGCAATGTCTAGGGTTCAGATTCAGAAAGAAAGAATCTTCTCAAGACACACAGATTCACATGGCACCAGTACCTGTAATACTTGGTTGCCTATATGCCTATACGCAGGTACCCTTCAAAAACACACCTGTTGACTTAGGTGGACTAAATACCTTAAGGCAAGTAAGAGACTCAGATCCTGTGGTAGTTACAGCTGTATAAACACCCAAGAATAAGAAATGCCATGCAATGGCGTCACAGAAATGGCATTATATTTGTGATGAAAATGTAATTTCCATGTGCAGTGCTCTGGAACAGAAGAACTTAACCCTTAAAAAGGGGTTAAGCTGCAGGGTAGATCGGTAACCAGATATTGCAGCTATGGGTTTAATTATTTAACCCAGGGAGGGTCTGTGGGCTAAGGAAGGGTTATGCACTAACCCATAACCACTCAAAAGAAGACCAGCCAGTCCCAGACCTGCTGGAAAGTCCACCCTCAAGCAGATCTGAACTTCACAGGACCCTGTGAGGCAATACTTCAGAAGCAATTTTCTTTTTCATTCAACTAGACTGGAGAGGTGAGAGCCCTTTGGATCTTGTGGTCATGATCTAGATCATCATTTAGTCCTGTAACCGTATGCAAACTCAAGCATCTATGATAGATGGATTTTAAGCAAGAGAGGAGGAATTCCCAATTTCAGCACTAATACATGAGCAATTTGCAAAATTGGTGACCACAACTTTGAGAAATACAAGGTATTTTAATGCATTCAGATTATAACATGATATAAAGTTTCCCTGCTGTGAAAGTGCCCCTTCAGTTCTGAATTCCCTTGCTTCTGCAGATGTAAATCTTCTTTTGGCATTACTTACATGCCGTTTTATGTAGCTGAATAAAAATGTATGGGTGGTTGCCTTGCATAATTTAATTTTTTTGCAATCAGCTCCATCTAAAAGACCAAAAAAGTCAATATACCTCCTAGTACCATTTTCTATATACATACAATGTAAAGAGAAAGGGAAAGTCCTACTAACCCTGAAGTAAGTGGAAGAACTCCAGTTTCCACTGGTGTATATCAGAAGTTACGATGAAAAGGAGAGACGTTGCACGGGTGTGAGAAAACCTGAGGAGTCTCATGACCACCATATCCTCTTCAAAAGAAGCAGAGTCAGGCCCCAAGCCTCTGATGTGCTCACGTTTGCTCCAAGGTTGCTCACTTGGACTTGCTCTCAAGAGTTTAGAGGCTCCAGAAACAGCAGATGAGAAGAGCAGGGGACCAGAAGAATCACATACATAAAGGAGCAAATGATCATATGTTCAGATTTGTGTGAATACCCCAGACTAGAAAGAAGCAGAGTAGATGGCATTGAAAACCAAAGCTCCCTTCATCCAGTTATTTTGCATTTCCTTTGTAGATTCTTTGCTTTGATAAGATGAAGCAAAGGAACAGGCTCAATTCTCCATTAGCTGCCAACCTCTGGAGTTACGTACTCCTGAGCACAGCGATTGCAAACCTGGAATAGAAACCCACATTGGTAGTATTTTATATGCACTTTGGGTAATAACAGCATTTAAGGGAATGAAGAAACCAGCTCATTTTTTTCTGTTTCTCCACCATAGGGTTTACAGCAGGCGGGATGTATATGGGGAGGGGCAGGGATGAAGAATCTCAGAAGCCATTTCTACCCATGTTAGGGCTTTTTTAAATGTTAAAGCAGAACAGAAGTACCAGTGCCGGATTTAGGCTTAAACTACTTAAGCTACAGCTTAGGGCATTACAATATAAGGGGGCCTCTAAATAAGAAAAAAAAAAAAAACACAACCTGACTCAATATCAAGCTTTATAATAATCAGTTGGTAAATAAGGAAATATGGGAAAATGACTCTTTAAATATGGACATTTTCATTCTAATATGATAAAAATATACATATATATGACTCTACAGTTATTATTCATATTGAGTTCATAAATCTGTTTTATGTTAGATTGTATT